TTCTTAAGACGCACAGTCAAAGGTTGAGTTTGTTCAAATTTTCCTTTCCGTGACATTGTAGCCTCATCCTCCTCCTCCATATCAGATAAATCAGAGTCTTCACTATTCACGGCTTCGTAAGCGTGTTCTTTTGAATGTACCCTGTCTTTCATTTTTTTTCTGGCGTGGCGCTTCCAACGCGAAAGTTGACGACTTGGTAGATTTTTTAAAAGGTTCGACTTCTTAGAGGCAGGATCTTCAACTGAACGAGAAAAACAAGTTATCGTAATGATATTCGGTCTCTAATGAATACTAATGAAACTTTAATGGGTTTTAAATTTCAAATGCTACAGAGCTTTGACGAGTATCTTAGCAACCTGCTTAACTGTTCCTTAGAAAATTGTGATTCCAAGATAAATAAGTTGTGAGTTGTTGCACTCAAAATGAATTTAATGTTACGTTTTAAACATCGCCACTTGCTGTCTGTGACTTCGGCTGGCCTGGCCCGCTGTACAAATGATCGATGTCCTTTCCATTATTCCTCAGGTAAGGCTGCATGCGCATACTAAATTCACAAAGGTAGTGGAGCTGGTGTAATTAGTTCCCTTGTACCAGGGTCCTTTCACTCCCCGCTCTTCTCCCTACATCCCTTCCTTTCCTCGCCTTTTCCTTCCTTCCATCCACGCTCCCTCCCCTCCCTCCTTCCTCGTAACTCTTCATCCGACGTATACCTTGTCATTCACTCTACACTCCCTCATCCCACTCTTCTTCCCTAAAATATTCCACCCTCCCTCCCTCCCTGAGTCCATCCGTCGTGACTGTTCTTTTTCGTTACTGAAATAATTCAAATATTTGTTTTTCGCATTTTCCTTTTTTCGATGTTTTTGTTGTTTCGTTTTTAAATTCGTTTGTTTTGGCAAGCTTTTATTGGTGTTCTTAACCATCGGTTTGTTTATTCACTTAATCTTTTAATATTCCATGTTTAAGAATGGGCGAGAAGTAAACAGGTTTGTCTATTGTAAACTTCAAATAGCAAGCATTTCTAGGCGATAAGTTTCTTTTTTTCTTCGTTTTCATTCTTTTGGTGAAATTTAACTATCGCAAACGAAGGGTACATTTACTAGAAAATGAATAAACATCGTCTTGAGCAAAGGTAAAGTTTCCGCACAGCCCCATACTATTGTAAAACAAATCTGTTTTCCCAAGGGCAATGTATTTTTTATGTCATTGTTTTCTCTGTTCAAGAACTGAATACATAATGTGGTAAGGGGCTGTGCGGAAATTTTACTTAAGCAAAATATCAAGTGACGAGAAAATTGCAATTACTCGTTAACAAGCTTTTTCAAAATAAATTTATGATAAACGTTCCTTCTTCAGCTATCTTACAATCGTTTTATCAAAGAGTAATTTAGGCACAGTCAGCTAACGAGCGATTTTATCTTCCGATAAATCAGTGAACATCCTTTAATGAGCGTTCTCACCAAAAATTGACGTGCAGTCAACCAAACCACGTTTCTATCGGTTCTGTGTGTGTCGAAGCGGAAAGTACCATAACATTTAAAAATTTAGGCTTAAGGTGAATAAACTTTACAACGCCCTGAAAAACCGCTGTGAAAACGAGGAAAGCTGAAGTTTACACAATGGCGGTTACAACTTATGAAATTATTGAGCGCTTACTGTTAAGATATCTAAATACCACTTTAAAGCGTTCTTAACTCCTCGTAGTGGGATATTGAACGTACATTTTAACAACAATTATATTTAACCGACGTCAACAACAACGGTTAACATTTCCTATCGCATTTTACGTACCATAATCCATCGTTAATTGCGTCTCGGGGCCGATTGGAAATTCACGGCTCGTTTCCTTTGGAGTTTCATCCATTTGTAGGTTTACGTTATTAATATTTACGTGGCTTTGGAGTGACGTTTGTTGGTAAAAGCTGCCTTACTGACAGTTTGAATTTGCTTAACCGTCCCGTAGTTGGCATCAAAAGTCAATGAAAAGCCCTTATAACTTTTCAAATGAACAAGCAAACGTACAGAACTGATTCACCCCACAAGAAAATTTTTGATTGAGACAAAATTTGCATAACATTTTTCCGTGTACGATGAAAACGCTAGTAGTGCGTGGCGTGTCGCTCCATTTAAGCGAAAAAAGCTCATTCTAAATGTACCTATTACATAAGCAAATGATGGCCTCAAAAATGCTGCGGAAACCCTCTGAGAATCAAATTCGAAAATTTTCTAGCGTTCTCAAGTGCTTTTTTGTCATCATGTTTGTTTTTAGGTAACGCAACGGCAAAGAGTCGCGCAACGCTGAATTCCATGCCAGCGCGCAAAAACTTAGATTTATCACAAATCAATGCTAAATAACCACGTGAATTTCCCAGTGAGGCACAGAGTATAATTATTTCTTGTTAACTGATCCAAACTTCCTTACGGAAAATCCAACTGGCCTTAAAAAGATTTCGAAAAAGAAGCGTCTTGGACGTAAATTGTAACAGAAATATTTTACAAACACTTATCAATTTAAAGGAAACTCAATGAGAAATATATACAGTTGCTAAGTTTCTACCATTATTCCAAAGAATTCAGGGAAATTATGCAAGCAATTTTCTCACCTATGCACGGTGCTGACCATTCTTCGCTCACAGCGAAAGTAAAAACTACCATCAGCCATAGAAATATCCTTCGAAACAATTAATTTTTACCCCAATCAAAAGTAACGGTTGTTGTCTCCAAAATTAAACTTTTATCGAGTAGCTGAAGGTCGCTATCAATTATAAAATACCCTCTGAGCAGAAATAAATCTTAAAGCGATAGTAATTTCTTCAAAAAATATTTCCAAAATCACACTTGTAGATTTTTGACACCAACATGAATTTGTTTGACTAGAAACTCTAATTATTATCATTTGCTACCTTCCGTCCAATTAGAGAGAGTGACTAATTATCTTTTCTAATTACTCAGAGGTTGATGCCACGGGTGATTTTTTCAGATCTCAAATTTTTGAAATGAAGAAAAAAAAAAAACCAAGCTACTTTGCGAACATTCTTCGAGTAAAGCCACTTATTATTTATTAGTGATTTCGCTGTGTTTCTCGAGGCCTAAATCACCGTGATTGAAAACAGGATAACTTTGGCTGGTTGAAGTACTCACCGAGAATGTGGGTGGGGTTTAACGTTCAAGGCTTTAAATTCACATCACGAGTGACCAAGATATAATTTCTTTTCACAATATCAATACATGTGAATGTGAAAGCGATCTTCGCAGCAATGAACACTACTTGAGCAGTAGTGAAAATAAAACCTGAAGAAAATTCAGACCTGTACAGGATTTAAACCCATGACCTCTGCGATACTAGTGCAGTGCTCTACCAACTGAGCTAGCGAGCCAACTAGGAGCTGGTCATTATGTTGGTTCCAAATAAACCCGAGAGGTAAAGAATAAATTACTGTGAATATATGAAAATAATATGTAAACTACGGATAAAGAAGTGAATATGAAAGCGATCTTCGCAGTAATGAACACTACTTGTGCAGTAGTGAAAATAACGCCTGAAAAAATTTCAACATAATGACCAGCTCCCAGTTTTGGAAATCAACACAATATCAAGTGTACAAGTAATGAGAATAGAGATAAACATTAATTAGGAGATTATTAGTGGATCCAATGTCTAGCTTTTGGATCTAAATTCATAACAACTGTTGTATGGCAGACGGAAAGGGGAATCACTAAAGAGACCTTCAACGTTTTTTTCTCGATATTTTCGTGATATAAAAATAAAACGAATGCTGAACCAATGAGAACGTTCATAAAAATAGCATACTTACCACTATCGGTGTACACGAAACAGTATACTTACCACAATCGGCGTACATAAAACAGCATACCACAATCGGCCTACAAGGTGTCTAAATGCTGATGTTGGATTATTGCGCTATTGCAATAATTTCATGGTTGGATCTTCATCCATTCTCTTTCTCTTCGTATTCATTTATTTTACTTTCATACTATGCCTCGTCGTTCAACTCAGCCAAAAAGCATTACTGAGAATCGAATTGCGATCAACGCCAACGTGTACACCGAATCCCGACCAACCTCCGACAATTTTGCCGAAAGTTAGCGAATGTTGACCGATGTTATTCAAAAGCTGGTCGTTTGTCTCCCGATTGTTACCGACTATTGCCGGTCTATTGATAAACAGGATCCACAGAGAAAACGATTATTTGTATGTCAACATGTAAAGATGTAAGTATGTATGTGTATGTAAAATTTAAGAGTACGAAGGATTAAAAAACGTAATGTGAATGAAAATACAAGATTTAACGAAAATGAACAGAAAAGCGAAAAAAAACCACTTGATACAAAAAAATTTGGGCAAAAATTTGGGCAACAGATGGCAGACAGTCAGTCAACACTACTAGACATTTAGCAGGCAATTTTCCAATCTTCAGTCAAAACATATCATCCGTTTTCGAACGGTTTCGTCCCTTTTCGGAAGATGCGTCCCACTCGGGATGGTTCCGTCTAATTAAGGACAGTTCATTCTAACTTCGCATTGTTCCGACTACTAGTTCCGTTCAACTTCGAAAGTTTCCGTCAAATTTTGGACGATTCAGTTTAATTTCGTGTGGTTCCGTCCATTTTCGGACAGCTGTCACTGGACTAACAGCTGACCAACTGTTGGTCACAGCGTCCTTAGATACAAGTCCCTTAATTCGTAATTCCTCTTGGGAAATGGCCAAAAAATAAAATAAAACCAACGAACTTGTCGGTGAAAATTTATTTTTGCACACTTAAATTCATTGCAATATTTAAACAAAGGGAAAAGAGGAAAAAGTAATCTTCCAAAATTTAAATTAGAAAAAAGTGAAAAATATTCATTCCAACATAAAAAACTAATTTTAAATAAAGTACGAAAATAAATATTACAAAGGATGTGAGCGAATTCTTCTCAACAAACTAGTTTAATGCAAGATTAAGAATTCTACATTAAATTGTATTAAATTGATCGTTTTGGTTATAATTATTAAAAACAATTGGCAGCTAAATTTACTGTGAAAGTTGTCAATATGGCAACTAGCACTCAGAAGTTATGTGGCTCAATGTTATGCTTTTACTGCTTTGACCCTATGGCTTGAAATGAATATCATGTAGTATTTCACAAAAAGTCCTTTGTCATTATATAGCTGTTGATTATCATTTCATTCTAGGCAACTAAATTTTTTTACTGGCAAACATTTTATGTTTTTTAGGTCCCCATTCAGTGACTTTGAAAAAAGATGAACTTGGAGCTTTGGTTACTTTTATAACAATTATTTTAACTCCTTCCTAATAACACAACACCTAGCTGCTGTTTTAAGGACAAATCTGTGGCACAGTCCTTAGGGAGAAGGTATCTTTCCTGAGTATCCTGTGTCTATGATGACAATTGATTGGGAGGTAGGTGTCCTGTGTCGCCCATACTTCTGACGCTTACCCTTCCATTGGGCCTTATAGTCACCCAAGTTATTCCACAGTGCCCTATGCTCATACGAAGCCAACCCTCAGGTGGAAACTGAAGAACCCTTATGAACAACACAAAACAGAAAAAATGGTAAGTTATAATAAATCATTAGTTTGTTTATCCCTATTACTTAATGGTATTATTTACCCTTTAAACCCTAAGACTGACTAGCATCTAATTTCTCCTTACAATATCACCCCTCAATCACATATTAAGGTCATGAGAATATAGGAAATGATAACCAACCAAAGAAGCTTTTGATCAGTAAACAAATTCTCCTTGTCAGCACCTTAGGAAATGTATAGAGAACAGTATGGAGAATATGCATAATGACATTAGGGTGTACAGGTTTTAAAATGAAGGACACTGTTTGACTACCTGCTACATGTATCTAGGAAGCATTGTATATTTAAACATTTTGATTTCTGTGTCACTTTACCTGCAAACAAAGTATCTGATGACATTGGCATGGCACACATAAATTTCAACACTGTTTCCAACTTGATCAACATCTGCCCTGTGGATGTGTTTCCTGAAGGCAGCCTCGATGCGAGGACCATCTTGGAAAAACTGCTGTTCAAAAATGGAAATACCACAGAAAATAGGTTAAATCCTAGTTGTAGATTCAGGCACTACAGAACAGCAACTTATCATTTAATAAATAAGTTATTATCACTGTTTTTCTGCCCAGTACAGAATGTAGTGGCTCACTGATTAGTAGTCTAATAAAAAATTTTTGTATTCTGAGATATGTCTGAGCCTAAGCCAAGATCAAAATGATGTGTTCTAGGGAAAGACATCATAATACTTATGTGCCCAGCGTTCCTAGCTGCAACCCTTTTGGTCACCTTGCAAGTAGTAAAAATGTTGGTAACTAAATTAGTAGCAAAGTCCACAATTTGATGACAGTCATGTTTACTGATGTCAGTAAAAAAGCTGTTGGCTATTCAACTCATTACACTCTAATATCAGTGTGTATATTCTCAATACTGTTCCCCATACATTTCTGAGGATGCTAGTAAGGATAATTTTTTTTTAATCAAGAGCTTCCTTAGTTGGAGATCATCCCTTAATATTCTTGTGACTTTAATGTTTGATTCAGGGGTGATATTGTAAGGAGAAATTGGATGCTAGTAACTTGAAAGGTTTAAAGGGTTGAAACTTGTTATGATTTCATGACACACTGACCGTTTTATCTGGTCTCCAGTTTTTTGACGCAGGGTCAGGGGGAACTGGAGACCCCTCTCGTAAAAAGCCACATGTTTCTCTTGGCACCTCTGGTAGATATTTAGCAATGATATCAGCTGTTTCCACAGCTCGTATTAAGGTAGAACAAACCAATTTAGTGTATTTAAAGTCCAGGTCTTTAAGACGCTGGCCAGTAATGTTTGCTTGCTTTCTGAAAAAGTAACAATTAATCAATTAACTCACTTTCTCAAGATTAACAGTCCAGTTAAAGATTACCAAGTTACCCAAAATGCTCACAGCTTGCAAATCAGGGGAAAGAGAAACTTGGTGTGTTCTTCACTCCAACCGGTGATCACTATTTTCCAGGTGCGGCTACTAACACATAATAGTGGAAATAACCCCTTTACACCCTAACATCAAAGTGACTAGCATCTAATTTCTCCTTACAATATCACTACTGAATAAAACATCAAGAACAGGAGAATACAGGAAATGATCACCAACTAAATTCTTGATTATCAAACAAATTCTCCTTATCAGCTCCTTAGGAAATGTATAGAGAACAAAATGGAGAATATGCATACTGATGTTAGGGCATAAAGGGCTAAGTCGTGAATTCCACAGCAACACAAGGAAACAAACAGTTCTCAGCGGTATTTTAATGATGGGAGGGTAACGACAACTGCAGACTGTAAATATCCGCATTTATGGCTCATTGGCTTAATTTTCAATTTTTAACAATAATTACTTCATCTCCTACCTTCCTAGGTCCGTCAGCCTTTTATCATCATCATTCTTGGCGTCCTCGTGATACTGCCCGTGCCTTATGAAGACAAGATGGCGTACAGCTGTGGGCTTGAGCTCTTTAGATTCCTCGTCGATGCTACCGTCATCTCTCTTCTTAGGCCTCTTTGTGCCTTTCTCGCACATGTCCCAGTTGGAATCCCATCGAAAACCCGTCGGTTTGTAAAGAAGGCGGTGTTCGTATTCGTTAGGAGGGCTATATTGCGTTCCCCCTCCACTGGCACGTGCGGGATTTCTGGTCCCGTTAAACAAGATATAAGCTCCTGAAAAAGTTACCGCTGCCGAGGCAACTGCTGCGAATCTTGAAAATTTGCCTAACGCTGCCATTTTTCGCATAAATTTAATTCTAGTTCAAATAAACGGATGCTGTCACTCCGCGATATCTGAATATCTTATTTCTGAGCGGTAAAACTCAAGGAAGGCTGGGTACTAGACATTAGTAACGCCTGACAGTTTTCACTTATCCTTCAATCTTGTGATAAACGTGTCACCGTACGAGTTTTTCTCGGTGGCAAATATTTTGCCAATGGCTTCAAATCTACCCGTAGAGAGCAGAGATCTTCTCCAGCCTCCACCAGAAGAGTTGGCTCAAGGTATGATTGTTATAATATTCATATGATCGGAGTATTTTTACTATAAGGACAGGTCTTTAAAATACGACCTGTCACTTCCCACAGGTTATTAATTTATGTGACGAACAACTCTTGAAACAATTACCCTCTTTTTAAGGGTTTAAAAAAAGTAAGGTTGAAAAAGATTCCTGCGTTTTCCACGTTCATTCATTGACCTTTATTGTGAATTAGGGATCGAAGCCCCCCTGTAACAAGTTGTCACAACCAAGACTTCCATTGATAGTAATTCTCCTTACTGTCAGCCATACAGTTTTGATGATGTTAGTTCAGAGAATTTGGTATGAGATCACGTAATAATCCGCTATTTGATATTTTCTCTATTTTATTCCCTAGTCTGCTTGATATTGTATTGATATTGTAAGGAGAATTTCTGTCTTTGTCACTGCCTAGAGTGAAAGGGTTCAAGATAAGTTACCTTTTAACTTAGCTCTATTGGTTTGATTAATCTTTCATTCCCAGGATCACAAAAACAATTCTCCTAACTGGCTGACATGAATTAATACAATTTTAGCTCTGAGAATTTGGCTTTGAATCAAGAAATATTTCAAACTTGATGTTAATTTCACTCCCATTACCTGCTTGACTTTGTTGCGAGGAGAAACTACTTATCGTTCACTCTGATAACAAGTGGTTAATGAGGGTAATTCAGACGCAGCAAAAATCTTTCTGATTCATGCAGATGAATTATGCAAGGAATTATGAGGAGAATATTTCATACCAGTGGATAAATCTCAGTCTTGGCATCATGTTCACACTCCATGCAATAATATTTTAACATTTACTTCAATCTATAGGTGTTTTTTTTATATTGGAGGCAGTTAGACTCCAACCTCCCCCCTTCCCCCTTTCACGGTCTCAAAGCCAACTGAGTTCAGTAATACATAAGCCACATTGCAGTCAATCTAAGAGGCAGCTTATTATGTTCCTAGTAAACACCACCCAAAGATGCATCATTTTCATCACAAAAAACTGTTTATTATCAGTCAGTTCTACACATTTCATCTTCCTTTGTTAACAATCCATCCTTTTTTGTTAGTTCTCAAGGATGGTTTATCCAAGAATTTTTCAAATGTGGAAGTTGAAGTAGTTGATTGTCCTGATTTGAGAGAGAAACCATGGACACTGGCTGCTCCTGGTATGGTGTGAACTTAAAATTTACCATGCAAAATGATATTGACTGAATGACTATTAACAGCTTCTTAATCGACACATTGAGGCATTAGTTAGTAGTACTTTACAATGGCAAACATTACTTTTTATATTGAGGTATTTGTGGCAGGGCCAGAATTGCTGATGTTGGTGGAGTGCCTTACCTCATACCTCTCCCAGACCTCTCCAAGGTAAACTGTTCAGTTGTCTTCTTGAAATTTGAATATTCATGAATCATTCAAAGAAGCATAGATTATTTGGTTCTTAGTTGCCTGTAAAGAAATCTGACCAAGGAGAGTATGTACTAAATACACTGTGAATCATATTTTCCTGTTTTTAGTTATACGATTTTGATGATGTAGCAAAAAGTTCAGATCTTCCAGGAGGATTTGTTATTGGTGCAGGAGCTGGAAGCAGCAAGTTTGTTGGAGTGAATTGTGAGGTAAAACTCAAATGTTCACTTAACCCTTTATCTTCCATGAGTGACCAAGACAGAATTTCTCCTTACAATATCAATACAATATCAAGCAGAAAAGTAATAAAAATAAAGAAAATATCATTTAAGGGATTATTGGTTGATCTACTACCACATTCTTGAAACTAACACTCACTTTTGCTTTGTATCCCCTTCCCCTCCCCCCATGTTCCTCTCTGAAGTTAGCAGGCAGGTTTGAGTAATTCAGTATAAAGATATAACAAGTGTGACTATTAGAATTACGGTACTGCTGTGTAAAGGGATCACATATATAATTAAACATTGACAACAACAACAATCTTCATTTCAGTCTTAAAATAAAAGTTACAGTTAGTTTGGTCTACAGATAGCTAGTGCTGATTTAAGTGGGCCAGTCTTCAAATTCTAATGGAGATCTAATAAAGAACAGAACCAAAAAAAGATATAAAAAAAAAGATGGAAAATGAGTTACTGGAAGACTTAGATATGGAGAGGACTTAAACAGGCATTCTTAATTACTTAAGAGATTTTACTTTTGGAATGATGTTGTGTATGCCAAGAGAGGAATTTTCTCTCTCCAAAATACTGAACAATAAATATTGTTGTTTTGAATTTGAAAGTTTGTTTTGGTAGCTTCCTAAGAGACCATCGGTTTCTCATCTTATGGTCTAACAGCAATTCTTGAGGGACAAATTTATTTTTTGTGCTACAAGGTTTCAAAGTTTTATGTAGAAAATATTAGAAGTAGTTATTGTAAGTCAAATGACATTAATTATTATAGAAATGCTTTGATCAAAAACATGGGTTATCACTGATTTATGATCATCATTATAAAGTTCTTGTAGGTTTAGCTTTTAGCTTGCCCAGCCCACAAGTTTCACTAGTGTTATAAATATGTTATAAATGTCTTCCAGATGATGGCAAACTTGGTCACAAACTCAGAACAGAAGGGAATCATTGCAACAAAAATTGCTAAAGTGAATGAAGAGGTAAGTTTTTATTATTTGTAGGTGTAACAAGCAAGAAAGTGGATTTTTCTAACTCCCATTCAAAAAGTGAGAGGAAAGAGGTGATCCCCAAGAAGTGTGCACCACCAAAGCAACTTTTTGTGATAATAATATGTGATATATGAATTGTGTTTTTGTTTCAGAATGGATCCTTTGTCCTGGAAGATTACAAATGTGGAGAGTTTAATTTGTTGGGTAATTTTCTTGTCAGTGATGGAAAACCAGGAAAGGTTTGAAAAGTTTGTGACTTTTTTCAACTTTCGCAAAAAGATCCTAATCCCTAAATCAATTACAAAATACAATATAGCTTATGCTTTTAGCAGAGACTTCTTTCATCGCTTTAAATAGAGATTTACGTTTGTTTCTTTTAGGTTCTGAAAGTTTGTGCCAGCAAAAGGACTGGAGATGAGAATTTTGTCACGTGCATGCGAAACACCCTGGCTGGTCGCTATGGAGACCAACCAGTGGGAATGGGTGGAGTGTTTTTAATCGAAAAAGGAAAGGCCAAGATTCATGTTATGGTACGGTTATGGTAATATTTGTTTTTTACAGAAGGTCAAACGTAGATAGCTCATAATCAGAATCTAGTACTTTCCAAGGGTCTGGTTATTTGAAAGCGATGGAAAAGGATGGGTGTCTTAAAAGTCAAAATCAAGAGCAGCCCACAAAGTGAGAAAAGAAGAACTCTTAATGTGCTTAAATTTCCCGGTGATCACTCGCGCATTTTTATGAAGTGAACAAAGGTTTATTGTTAGGGGACAGATAGTGGTGACAGTCGAAAGCGTGCACCTTGTGGTTATAGGTAACGTCGCCTCCTTGCGCGTCCACTTCAGGAAGTTAGAAAAGACTGTCATAATTAGGAAACCACGACAACTCAAACCTAAATAACTTCGGAATTCGAATTCATATATGAAATACTTTCTAAATATAAAAGAAAGATAAAATCATTCTGAACTGACTGACTAACTGACTTACTGATCATAAAAAAACTTAATTCTTCATAACAATACTTCAGGGTGACGGAACTTGGGGTGACCAGGCGAGGGAGCGAAATCGCGGGTTTCCAACTTAGAAAGTACTCTCAAATACCTGTATGACAACAAAAGAATAGGGAATTTTGAGGATGATCTTGAAAATTCATCGACCCCTAAGATAAACGACCAATAGGCAGACGATATTAAAATCTGAGTGCAGATTTTATTTCAGACTTTTAAAAACTTCTTAAGACGTTTTTATTGAAAAATTCTTTAACTGATTTTAAGTCTTTTTTTGGTCTGAATAGCCCAGATTTTCCCAAACCCCACTCAAGACAGACGCAGATGTGAACAATTGGCTCAAATTCTATGAGATGAGTGCCCCATTGGTTTGTGTGGGAGTCTTGGAAAGTCACGATCCTGTGAGTGTTCTTTTCTTTAATTTGTTGTCGTTATAAAGAGAAATCCTACTCAGTAATCTTCGTTTTTTGATATATTTTTATGCTATGTTTATTGAGTATTTGGCATGAGTTCGTCAATGCCCTCAAAGATCATACGTCACGACATTTTGAAAATATATATTTTTTTTTTGCGCCATGGAAAACGTCCTAAAGCTACCTTCTATGTGAAGAACACTGCCAATATTTGTCAGATAAGGAAAAGCCGTAACAGGTTTGTTAAAACCAGGATGGAAAACGGTATGGAAGATTTAGACGGATTGAAAACCAACTAGAAAACAATTCAGTTCAGGGCTTCAAGATACTTGAACTGTGTCCAAAGGTTCCTTTTCACCTTAACAGGATTAATGTACGCGACGTTGCCAAAATGCTGGTGTGGACGAAGGATACAATTCCTTACCGTAGCGAACTTTCTCAAAATCTTGTCATTTTGTGTTCAGGGTCTGGACTTGCGCATTGAACACTTCCACTGCTTCAGTGATCATGGAGAAGGAGGGCATTACCATTATGACGTCACACCCGATGACGTGCAATACACTGGGTTCTTTAACGTCGCTGAGAAAATTTACAGAATAGATCGACCGCTGACTACACACAATGTTGGAAGAGACTGAGGAATGGCCTAAGATCACTATTCCATATAGTGGCTAAATTTTCAAATAATTGAATATTTAAATCTGCGCTTGAAATTTTACACAAGCCCCATTACATTTTAATGTATTGTTTTGGGAATCTAACAAGATTAAAATTAGCATGGTATTGTACAGGTGAGCAAATATAATTTAAAATCTAAAAGAATTAAAGAAATTTCTACGGTTGCACTGGGGGACGCGTTGTCGTAATGTTAGCGCGCTGGATACTGGGGCTAACGCAAACAAAGGAGCATACAAAAATTTTTCCTTTTCCATGTTTAAAAACACAATTTCCTCTCTTGAAAGGATCCATTTTACTAAGTGTTATTTTATGGCTTAGGCTTGTGGCCGATATAACGCGCGCTCTGATTGGTTAAGAGCGAGATCAGAGCAGGGCATTATACAGTGGTAATGCCCTCGGGCCGATTATGGATTGTGCAAACTAGAAAAAGCGCAAAATGTTAGACAAGTACCACGGCGGTTATTTTCGCTGTCTGAAAATCCGAGCGCATGAAAACGATGAAGGCCGATTGACAGCCAGAGAGAATAGACTCATTTTGATACAAACAGCTAAAGTTTTAGAAGAGCAGCGAAGGTACTATTTTAAATTACCTGTTTTAAATTACCTCGCTATCTCTCGGTCAACACGGCGAGGCCTCAGTTTGAAATTTTCCCGTAACGACCTCACTCTCGGTTATTAAGTAGTAAATAATGACTTATTAGGACTGAATTTGAACGAAATGAATTGTGAAAGTAATATGCTTTGTAAGTGGTATATTGCCTTGGACTGTTCTTGATTGCATGGGGTAAGGTTACATAGTAATGATTGAAGTAAAACATTGAAATATGATATATGAATTTGAAATCAGCCGGAGAAATCTCGTCTTTGTGGAAATTACTTTTGGCTTGATAAGAATATTAAAGAGATACATCTTTGGAATTGTTAGCCTGAAAATTTATATCGTCAAAGGGCACAATTTGAAGGGTCAGTTGAAAAGGTCTATATCGCTTTTCACGATAAAAAATTATTACCCTTGAACTTTCAATACACTTTTTTATTGCTGTTGTTGATGTTGTTGTAGTGAACATAGTAGTTCCTAAAAAGATTTACCCATTAAACCCACAGAGAGAACAGCATCCAATTTCTCCCTAAAGTAATAATACTGAATCTGTCATTAAGATCATGAGAACGAAGGAATTGATCGAAAACTCAAGAAGTTCTGATGGATAACCGAATTCTCCTTATCAGTACCAAAGGAAATATACAAGGAATAGTATAGAGGAAATGGATACTGATGTTAGGGTGTAAAGGATTAAATTTGTAGTTTCTTTCTCACGATTCTCCTGCATCGTACAGGAATCAATTGACGAGAATCGAAAAACTATCGATACTGGTTCAGCTGGAGTGAAAGCATTCCGGCAATGCCCTGGCCATACCTTTTATACTGATGGAACATCAAATTTCCGTCCATCTGAAAATCAACAGAAATTCTCATTTCACGTAATAAATGTTAACCAAATGGCATAAATTCCCATTGCCAAGCTAAAAAATAAGATCAAATTTCAATATTTTATTAAAGCGGAAATGCTTTGTGAGCGTGGGAATGCCGCAACAAAAGCCTTATCGTTAATAAAATTTAAACTTTAGAATTGACACCCATAACATCCTTTTGATGGCTGATCGACATAAGTCTACCAAATGAGGAATCAGTGATCGATGTTATTTTGAACGAAAATTGTGATTATTGTTTTAAGCTGAGATGCAACCGTCAATTATGCATAGCTCTAAACAGACTGGTACCCGCTTTACGAAGTTGACTCGGCTTTGCCGGAAAAAGATCATCTTAGAATCGTAAAACCTGGGCTTGAGATCTGATTATTACCAAGAACAAAAACTGAAAAAACAAGACTTCCTTCATTGCAGTTTTAAAAGCTATTCTACTCCCGACGATTCTCAGTGGTTGAACTCGTGATGTAGGTTGGACAGGTTGTGGACTGAGTTGTGAAAATCAAATTATATCGCCGTTGTTTTCATGGAAACTGAGGAAGATAAATTAGCCCTCACAGCCGAAGACGGCGATCCAGATGAGGATTTATCCAAAGATTCTAAACAAGGTGAGTGTTTACGTGATTTACGTTGCATCGCTTAAACACCAGAACACGTACTTGGCGGTATTCATCTTGATTTAACGCGTTCCTCGCGAGTCTTCACGAATAAGACGCGGGGCGGCGTGAATGAATAATTACCCACCCGTGCCAAGGGAAAAGTCTGTGAATCAATTAGCTCAAGGTCAACTTATTTCCCTAATATCCATTATAGAGAGCAACTTTATCAGGTTACAAGATGTGGTATTCCGTGGGTCACAGGTTTTTCGAACTTATCACCTCCCAATGGATCCAAAAGGGTCTGCAGAAACCACCTCCTCTAGATCCGCCACTGTACTGGATGCATCCTTGAGGACCGAGCTTCAAGATTGATTGATTGATTGATTAACTGATATTCATGCAGAACAATCTACACAGCGTCTTCTCATTCAGAGTCATGAATATTGCCCCAACAATTTTATGAAAGATTGTTGTTTGTGAATTCTTCAATATTCTTTCTTTCTCTTTCTCTAACATTATTATTATAATTTTTCTTATTTTTTCTCTCGATATAACTTTTGTCAGGAGGTAAACTGACCTACACAGTGGAAGAGGCGATTGACAAGCTTGGCTATGGACCTTTTCAAGTAAAACTTATGTTTGTGATTGGATTGGCTTGGGTAAGAGTGAAAATACTGTTATGAGACTTTTTTTAAACTTTCCTGAATGCTTTTAACCTACCGACTTACTACTTATCGCGTTCCTCTCTCTGAGTCTTAATCGTGTCCATAGTGTTATTTTTAATATAGTTCCGAATTTCCTATTGAACACCAAAAAGTAAGAAGAGGGTCTAAATGGGATGATAACTTTTAAGGCTCAGAAACGGTCAAAATTTTGGCCATTTTACGGCTAACGGTTAAGGTTTTTCTCCTTTTGATCACAGTTGATAGTTTCGGTGGTTCTCAGCCATCTTAAACAAATAAAACTAATGATATCTTCTTTAGTTGCGTTTAAGCCCGTAGTCTTAACCCTTTAACTCTCAGAAGTGATTAACTTGGAACTTAACCCAATGATAACCATACGTTCTCCAACCAGCAAGTAAGGAGAATACTCAAACTTATCAGATAGAAGTTGTTATCTTGATCTGACACTAAATTCTCGAAATTCAGTTGCAAGAAAATGCAAAGCAGCTCTAAGAGAGAATTGACAATGAGATCTTTGGAGTTAAATGGTTAACAGCTAGGCGTATATGAAAACATTCTGTACAAGTGATACTGTTTATCCTGGTAAACGTCTTTGTTAATAGCAGACATAAAGGTATCCATTAATTCTTTCAGTGAAATAACAAAAATGGAAAGGGAACTACCAGGTTCGAAATGGCAAATGCTAAATGATGCAACTGTTCAAAGTAAATATCGAAACACTGTTTTTTATTTTTAGATGGCGGACTCTATGGAAGTGACAATCCTGGCGATTGTATGTCCCGCTATAAGATGTGACTGGAATTTAGCTACTTGGCAAGAAGCTACCATTACTACGGTATAACTTTAGTTTAAAAAGCTAGGGCCGGTTATTTTCACGAGGTTTAACCCAG